GATAAATTCTGAGTGCTTTCGAAAAGGTTTTTCGGGAACGGCAGCGATTTAGTGCCACTGAGCTTGCCATCGATGTACAAACCACTCGAGCTCGCAACAATATTATGCATGACACCATCGTTCATCAAGGAATCTGAGCTTCGCTTTTTCACATCGCCATCAACCAGCGCTTCGTAAATCAGCAAGCCATTTCTCAGCGAAAGCGAAAGAAACGCATTTGGAGCTTTCTGCAGCAAAAGTTCAATTATAATTTGCATATAACTGCGCTTTTATGCAGATTCTAAAATTTTTTTTTATTGGTAGGTTTATTCGCTACGCATCCATGTATCTGTTCATTTGCTCTCATCAAGATTTGAAGCAGCTAGAATGGTGTGTTTTTTTTTTATCACGCCGAAAGCTGGAATTTTTAGTAACATCTTGAAATTTCAGATCTCTGCCGCTATACTGCAGTATTCATCTAGACGACGTGCATACTTCAACACCTTTCTTCTTGCCTCTTTGTCCATAAGAGTTGAAGGCAACGACAGCAATAAAGTGCTTGTCCAAACACTTCCCTTTCATCACTATTAACAAAATATCAATTATTTTAGGGTTATTCTCTAAAAATATGTCCACCCTACTTGTAGTGAAAGGCAAAAGGGAACTGCTTGGTGAGCCATTACAGCTGCAAAACAAGAAGACAATTTAGCTGTCTAAACAATTTTCTTATATTTCTGAAAAATAATTTTTAGGAAATCCTCACCAAATAGATAATCTGACCGGATCCGGAACGTGTGCGCAGCAGGAAACTGATTTGTAAAGAGTCGGGAATACTGCGATCCGTTGAAATTCCATCCAGTAACTTGTATTTAGCAAATGACGACGGAATGAATGTCGCTGGTGAACTGCCTACAATGTGTTGGAACTTTTACAGCATCTTTTTTAGCAAGAGCATGGATATTTAGTATGGAGCAAAACAGAATGCTGGCTGTAACCTAGCCCTTGAAAACCACTGAGTGACTTTTTCCTTGTTTAAAACATATACTTTTTCAAGCGGTTAATAAATAAAAACACCTACACACATATCCGCCATCGTGGTTAGTGCAGGTGACATTTGTGCCGCATGAATTGAGTGCGCAGTGATCCCTCTCATTGCAGCGTTTTCCCGCCCAGGAATATTCGCAGTGGCATTCGAAATCGTTGAATGTATTTGAGCACAAACCATTCGCGCATGGCTTCAACAACGAGCAAATATCATCCGATACAGTACCCTGTAATAAATTATTTCCTGTTAAAAAAAAAACATTTGGCCAAACAAATGCTTTAAGTGCTATGCAGTCGCTCCGGTGCCACAGGCTTTTAGTCTTTTACGCTTGGCGAGTCTAACTTCTGGTTCCACAAGATTAGTTCTGCGAAG